CTGAAGTTTTTGATAAAATCCAGTTGTATCAAGAAACATTTCAAACGTTAGATTTTATGATAGTCTTACTCCTAATTGTCATTATTGATGATAACTCTGGTTTCTCCTTTATATAGTTTATATCATGTGTATCACAAGCCAATTTGTCTTCTTAAAACACTCTTTTTATGTCACTATCCCACTCTGAAACTATTTAAAGTGTATTGCTTGTCTTTGAAAATTTCAGCCTGACTTGAACACATTACTTCCAACTACTGTTATACATGATTCTTTATTGTTTCCTGATTGTTCTTTTCATTCTGGCCTGAACACCCTTGCTCAGTTTTCCATTAGTTATTTTGTCTTCTACTACTTGCAGAAAGCCATTCACCCTTCTCTCTCCCCTCGTCTTCTTGCCCCCAATATAAATTGTCAAGCCTTGATGACATAATTTAATTTAATTACATTTTCTTGTGAAGTACTTTCTCACCATTCCAAACCACTTTTCCTTCTGTAAATTTATGGGGCCCACTTATGGTCTCACTCATTTGGTATGCAGAAATACATTTAAGATTGTATCTTATATTGTCTTTTCTCCATTTTCCAAAATTTAATGTTACAGAAGTAGGGACAGAGAGAAACGCAGAGAAAGAGAAAGAGATGTGGATCGGAAAAGGTACCGGAGATCTTCATCGCCTGGGAGAAGAAGCCCAGAACCATCGGTAACCCAAAGTTCCTCTGCTCAGGATGAGCCTACTGCAAAGAAGAAGAAAGAGGAGCTGGATCCTCTTCTTACTCGTACTGGTGGAGCATATATTCCTCCTGCAAAGCTCAGGATGATGCAAGAACAGATCACAGATAAAAACAGGCATGTTCATATCACTAACTATACAAGGCAATGATATTCTCATTGAAAAACAAAAATCAACTACGGTCTAATTAACCTTGGCTGTTGAGAATTTACATTAGTCCACAATGATAGATCCCTCAAATTAGACTTCTTTCCTTCTTCACTCTATAACCTTCATTGGAATGCTGCATACTATTTGTCCTACCCTGACACATTAGCTCAGCACTTCTTTATTTCTTTGCATGTATGAATTTAAAAATTTAAGGAAATAACACTTAGCTATTTTAGATTATTTCTTTCATAGTTGCATGCTTACCTATTAGTAGTGTCTCTTTTTCCTGGATAATCAAGAGTATTGATATTTTTTACCTAAAATGAATCTTCAGTTTTACCAAACCAGGAGTTGGCATACTTTTTCTGGAAAAGATCAGACAGTAAATATTTAAGTCTTTGTCTGTTATTCTATCTTTGTTACAACTACTTGATGACTCTTGGGAATACAGCCATAAATAATATGTAAACAAATGAGTAGCTTTGTTCCAATAAAGCTTTATTTACACAAACAGGCAGCGGGCCACATTTGGCTCATGGGTGTAATTTGCCAACCCCAGTACTAATCCATGGAACTAAGTTTACAATTTTCTTTTTCCTCCTTTTCTTTGACCATAACATCTTGGACTATAATGTTTTGCTACACTAAGGCAGACATTCAAAATTTATATATGACTATTCACACTGAAAAGACCTTTCCTTCCCTTTTTAAAACAATTGGGATGTTGAGGAGCTATATAGGAAAGTGCAGTTAAGTTTTCTCTCATGGGATGAGATAACATCTAGGTGTAAGATTGAAATGCCCACTCAGTTGCTAGGTAGGTAGTAAAAAGATTGGGCTAGAAGATAGCTATACTTTAAGAAAAACAGATTCTAGGTTTGTCAAGAAAGAGCGTTCCTGCATCTTTTGTGGGTATTTTAATGGCAACTTGAAAGTACTTGATAACCTTGTATAAATGAAGTCTAAATGTGTTTCAAAACTGAGCTTGAAGTAGAAATGTCATTTGTGTAAGTGTAAAGACTTGAGATAAGTTAAAACTTAAAAAGTTATGTGCTAGAAAGGGACATTAGATGACATTAAGTTTAAAACTGGTAAGTACGTTTCTCTTCATATGTCATGTCCCAACACTTGGTAGTGATGCTTGGAGTGTTATGCTGAGGAGGGATTTGGAGATGGCCTCTGTGGTTCGTGGGAGCTTCATGATCACATAGGCATTTAGCTCTTGTAGAAGCAGTAGTGGCAGCATTAGTGAGAAGTATTAACTGTCCCCAGTCCAGCCCAAAGCAATCCTAATTGTAAAAAACAAGCATTGTTAATGCAAGTTTTTCTTATGAATAAAGTGGGCAATCAGCAATATATGAAATTTTAAGTAATTCCTAGAACATAATTTTATCTAATCTAATAATAGACAAACATGGTAATTGACCGTACCTTCGCTACGCCTCCCATTGGCTAATCAGTGCAATATGCAAATTAACCGCCAACAAAGATGGTGGCTAATTTGCATACTGCAGGCAGGGCGGGCCAGCGCAAGCCGCCATCTGGCCCCCGTGTGCCGCCTAAGCCCCACCCCCAGCCGGGACCCCTGGACCCCTGTGTGCGGCCCTGGATGGAGGGTCTTGGCGGCGCATTCGGCCCGAGGAAGCCCTGTTCTTGCAGGAATCCTCCTGCAACGGGCTTCTAGTATATATATATATATATTTGAAGTCTGTTCAGAGGCTGTAAAGGGGACAAAGAAATTTAAGTCTCTAAAAGAAATCTATAGTCTTTGCTTTTAGTAGGTACTTAATCAGGTGAATTGTAGGCTTCCTAATTAAGAAGTATAATTTTACTTGATACAGTCTTTTGATCAAAGTTTAATAGAAGTGATTATCAGTAATATTTTATTGGTCAAGTTGGTTATTAAGCCATAGATATATTTCTTTAGAGATAGTAGCATACCAAAAG